AAAAACGAATATCTACTACAAACTTAATGGCCTGAGTTTGTTTTTTCTACGGTCAAAATGCTAAACGTGTTATATATATCCTAGAAGCGCTCAGGCATCATGAATATCATGCCAGGACTCCTACCTGGATGAACCAGGACATAATAGATAACAATTTATATTATTTTTACTGTCTTTCTAGACAAAAGTGTAGTGCATTGTCTTCAAGCTTAGAAGAAAAAGCGTAGTAATAACACTGCGGATATGGACAATTTCTTATGACATTTATACTTCAGGTTCCTGTTTTAACATTAATATCTGTTCATGTTAATTCGGTATGATTTTCATTATTGATTAATATAAATACACATTACCTCTTTTTGGGGTTCTCTGGGTCTTTATTGCCTAGACCATCACGCGATACCCTCAGGGAGGGAAGGATGGGACAAGAAAAGCTTACAATCGTGTTCAACGCATCAGCTGGCTAGAATCACATAATGACTCACACGTGGCAGCAGCTTGCATATATACATGGGCTTGGCGCTAATCTTCCGTTACAAGTAATTAATACTGATAAACAGGTTTTTCACTCACTAAATAAACAACAACTCTTTTGGGGGTTCTCTGGGTCTTTATTGCCTAGACCATCGCGCGATACCCTCCAAACCCCAAAGAGAGAAAAGGGGAGTTACAAAGTGATACCCTGACTCATCTGTTTAACAGCCTTTAATTTGTAGCGGAGTGAATGGTCTAAGTAACGCTCATATGCAGTTGATTTCCAGTCACCATGTAGCTTAATACAATCGCTAGGCACACCGCAATGCAAGGTAAATGAAGCAAACCCCTTGCCTGAAGGAGTCATTACCACTTCACGCCGATTTAAGTGTGTATTTCAGAAATGGGCATAGCCGCTGGATTTTGTACCCTGAAGGCTCAATTTATTCCTCCAGACTTTACCTTAGAGAGTACTCGTTTTGACTCGGTTCAAAGAAGGTGAGATTTTATGGCGGAAGACTCAGAAGCGAATTCAAAGGAATTGAACAATGGCTTAATTAAGCTGCCCAGGGCCGCGAAGTTTTAAAGGTATCCTTTTGTTCTAAGTGTCTCAATAAAACTGCAGAGAATTATCACACACATTGCGGTAAAGTTTATGGATTTAAGTCTTTCGCAAAACTTCTTCGACTTGGACACGCATTTTTCAAAAAGGAGAATTTTGAGAGCTTCAAAAAGAGATCTTGAATAAGAAATTTCGACCACTGTGGACCGAGATTGGATTTTTTTTCTTGCCGAGGTTTCAAAGTACAAAGCAAGCTGCTGCAGCATTTTTTCTCGCCTATCGCTTAATAAAATCCGGCTGAGAGTTATCCATTTTTTCAATCATACGGTTATTCATTTCTCCAGAGCAATGAAACTATACAAGCATTTCTACAAATTATTTCGAGGAATTATGAACTCCGCAAGTTTTGATCTGTCGATTACACCTCTTGTTTTGATTTTAGATATTTCCCGTCTCACTGGACTACTCCGCGAATCAAGTTGTCATGCAAATCGGTGCACTGACAATACGCGGTCATTTCGGGCCCTGCAGTCACGTAACTGAAACGCAAAGTTTTGTTCAACAAAAAAAACTGAAAGGCAAGCGAAAACGTCCAAAAAAGTGAAATTACACTCTAATAAAACTGTGTCATCCCGTTAAATGCATTCACCGCTTGCATTGTTTACATTTTGAAGAGTTGTTCGCTCTTGATTGCAGAGCTACTGAATGAATAAAATGCAGCAATTCTTTAAACGCCAAATTCGAAACAAGAGACATATCGCACCTAAATCAAAAGAATTCCGCTTGTGGATTCTTCAGAAGGTAATCGACAATGGCAAGAACAATAGCCTGAATATATCAATACTTGATGACCCCAGAATTTGGGGTACACACTTAAATCGGCGCGAAGTTGTAATGTGGTATATGTCACTGTTTTAAGGACACCATCCTCTAGGTAAGTAAAAGCAGCTTCTGAAGCAGATTTGTTACTTTGATAAACACCGGCAAGTGTGAAAGCACGGGTTACCACTGACCAAGGACCCAAGGAGGAGTGAGCAATCTTTGGAACTGGAACCAGGAGAGTGCAATCACGGTATTGGATCATTTTAGACCAACAAACAAGAATGATGCCCCACGGGAACAATCGAACACCGCATTTCTGCAAGTGGCGCTTGGTGTCAAATTCCGTGGTGGAAGGTGGCAGTAAGTTTGACTTATGAAAGAAGGAGAAAAATGCGACCAAACATGCCGCTCAAAAGGTGGCGTTGAACAAGGAGTCAAGATATCAATGGCATTGCATTTTGTGAAGAACATCAGGTGTAATAGGTAGTTTTTGCGTCACACGTTCTCCATTAATTCGCTTTATGCCTCCCGTGAGGACAGTCTTCTGATGCTGGAATAAGGGGTCTTCAAGAGGGTTAGGGTAGCCATACTGCAGGTGCAAAAGACGGACAACGTTGAGATAATTGGGAATGCTGCTAGTAGAGAGTATTCGTGAGAGGAAGACAATGTCATGGGAGAGGTGAATAGCGCGACAGGGAACTGGGGTATAGCCAAAGAAGAGACAGAAGCAAAGGTATGTTCGTAGCTGTGACTTATAACTTGCTGCTGTGGATTTGGCAAAGGCATGGTTGCAGTACATTCTCAGTTCTTCCTGTAGTAGCTGCTCCTGAGTATGGACTGCACCTGCCAGGGGAGAGAAGAGAAGACTGACGGTGAAACCTGAGCTTGTTGGTGGTCGAATGGTTTAAGGAGGATGTGGAAAAGTTCCTTTAGAGTTCTGCAGAATGCAGGGTCATGAAGGCGCGAGATGGCATCGGCAATGGTGTTAGCCTTTGAAGGGATGTAACGAGTGGTGATTCGAAAATTGTTAGTAGCAGAGGGCCAAAATATGGAGCGTAACCATTGCATAACGTGGGGGTTGCGACTTGTACCTTTGTTTAATGCACTGATTGTCGTGTGGTTATCAGTGTGGACAACAATCCATTTGTCACGAAGTACCATTTCCAGTGGTGTAACGCTAGGAAAACCCTAAAGGTTTCCTTGAGGTTGATATATGTGTCTGTTAGATCAGCATGATCAGTAGCCCAGTTGGTGTAAAACAAGAAAAGCTTACTACAATCGTGTTCAACGCATCAGCTGGCTAGAATCGCATAATGACTCACACGTGGCAGCAGCTTGCATATATACATGGGCTCGTCGCCGAACCTCCGTTACACATATTTAATCCTGATAAACAGGTTTTTCACTCACAAAATTCTTTCACGAAGTAGACTTTGTGTCTTTGTGTGAAATCTCATGTTTCTCTAGGAGAGAATGATTAAAGACTTTTCACAAGAGAGCAAAAACCTCTTATTTGTTGCTTGCCTCCCGATGAGGACTCGGTAAAGACAAGGAAAGCCTACAAGAAGAAGAGCTTGGGCCTCGCCAAGACCTCACAATTAGTTTGATGCCCTTCTCGCATCCTGCTAGCTTTACATCCTCTGGAAACCGAATTATCGAATGGCGAGTGTAACATTTGAGAAACAGAGCCATATTCTTTGTGGTTATCTAATAATACAGGAAACAGAAACGCAAAAGCCTATATCTTTAGAAAAGTGCAAAGCTGTTGGTCTGTGGAGACTTTCCACTGCGAATAGTCATCGCTCATGTGAATTGCAGTTTGGTTTAGGAAAATCTACTGCCAAAGTAATTTTTCGAGAGTTCGAAGAAGCTTTGTGCCGAAACAAGGACGTGTTCAATCGATTCCCTTACACGACTGACGAAGATCAAGAGGTAATGAATGACCTTGAAGAAGAGTACCATTTCCCACAAATTGTGGGAGCAGTTGACGGTTGTCACATCGAAATAAAAGCACTGCCGCAAAACAAAGACGACTATTTCAGTTCTACAGCATCAACAGCATCAACCTGCAAGGGATAGTCAATCCTCAGTTGCATTTTCAGCATATAGCTGTTGGCTTTCCTGGAAGTATGCACTATTCAAGAGTTTTAAGACGAAGCGGAATCTTCAACCTGGCAGAAAACGATTAAATATTCAGGAATCGAAGTCTTAAACAATCGAACATAATCAAACACTGCAACAATCGAACATAAAATCAGTTTCATCTGGTTTCAAACAAGGCATTGTTTTCAAATAAGTTATGTATTGGCTTCATTTTCAAACAAGAGTAAACAAAGATGTCACAGAGGGTGGAAATATGAAATTAAGAATTTAGGAAGCAATGGTTAAAGGCTATCACGGGTACTCTTTCGTTGTCTGTCGGTGAAAAGTTTCTTATTAAGAAGAAAAGGGGAGATAGGGGTCCAGCTCTGAGGGTAACTGAAGATGGCCTTGTAGAATTGGCCTAAGACCTGCTTTCTGACCACATGACTTTATGGCCAGGGATGTGGAATGATGTGGGATGAAATGAAGGTAAGAGACAAGAGCTTGTTTTATTTTTGGAGTCATAAATTTTTACGCCTGGCTGTATTTGTAAAGTAAACAAACTTATGCCAGTATGCGTAAACCAAGTCTTAATGTATATGCTGATATTTATTTCATGTCTTGATTCACCTTTCAGATCCAAATAAAAGAAGCATGAAATCTGAAAGGTGGTGGAATAAAAATGGTAGAGGATGAACTGCCTGTATTGCATGATGTTTACTCATATTTAGTCAGTTATACTGTACAGTTTATTTGGCGTGACCTCACATCTGGTTATGATATAATTGGCCCCTATTTCGTGGTACCAAATTCAATGGACGCAAACACCTTACAGTAGTTCTGTATGTTGTGTCTAAAATCATTCAATGCATACGGCTTTCGAGTTTCCATAGTCCTGTGTGATGGAGCTTCATCAAACTTGACACTTCTGAAGATGCTCTGTGGCTACTCTAGGGCCGTACTGCCCATGAATGATGCCGCAGAAGATTTAAGGGCCAGGTATTTTGTTGACATGTAATTTACCATTCCTGAGGATTGCAGTGGCAATCCAGTGTTTGCAATGATCTGCCCAAGTCATCAGGTAGTAATTATGTGTTGTGCCTGGTAGATCTTTGTCAACTTATCTGGTAACTAGTATTAGAACCTGCTAAATTTGCTAAAAGACAAACTTCTTTGTTATACAAACTTTTTTTATCCGTTAAAGAACATGATAGCGGCCTTTAACAGTTCCAAAACCAAGGGTCCAAAGAAACTAACACGTGATGTAGTGGAGTTTGGTTGGGATACGATTGAAAAGATCTTCAGTCCCAAGATGACGCAATGCACCTGGCCTGAAATTTGCATTTGCGCACAGATACAATTGGATTCGTCTCAATGTAAGACCAGCCAAGATCATGCAGGTCCCTAGTTTATCTAACTGTATTTGATATTATTATTTTCGATTTATTAGATAATATTGTTAGAGATAGTTTTGGAGATGTTGCTGCCTTTGCTGGCTAAATATAGCTTGTCTTTGTAGCCCTGCTATTGAAAACGTCAAAAAAGGAATGGCCTTTTTTGAGAAATGGTGTCACAGCCACAAAGAAACAGGTAACTTTAGGCACAGTGTGCTTAGTATGATATCTTGTGGTTCAATTTAATTTTTTTTTCAATGGGAAATTTTAAACTTAGCTTCTTCACTTGTTAAAATAGAACCAAAACATGCACCCTTTTTGAGAAAGGTTTCCAAACAGAGAGATAGAACGATAAATATATACTTTTGTTTTCTTGCACGTGTACTCATGTGCATTTTTCACTTGTCATTGTCCACCTAATGAAAAATATTGTTTTAATGATAAATTTTCTCGTTGTTGGGTATCTGTTAAAATTTGTGAAAAAACAAAAAACAAAATGATGTACGAATCTGTTGGCAATTCTTTTCACTTACATACTCTGGGAATTTACGCGACTGCGTGATGCAGTTAATATTGTGTGTTCACTTGACATAATGAGCCTGCGTGATGCGGTAGTTATGTCAGTCCACAATTGATCTGCTCACCACCGAGTTGTCAATAGCTCAGTGGTTAGAGCATCCAACTAGTGTACAGAAGGTGGTGGGTTCAATTCCCATCTGGAACTCAAAATTTTTTTCTGTGCTCTTCAATCAACACGTATCATTTCATTTATTATTAATTTAAAAAATGGCCAGGAATTGGGTCAGTTATAGGTCATCTATTGTTGCCGTTGCAAGAAGAGTTTTCTTACAACAATCCGTATTTACAGTGATTCGTCTGATAAAGGAAAGTTCGAGCGGCAAATTATTCTAGATTTCCATTTTTGCGACGTTGTTGAAATGAAAAAAGTGTTTTCAAAGTGACAGATTGTTTTTTCGATGGTGGATGATATGGACATTGGGTACGCGGGAAAGAGTAATAAACAGTTAATTAAAACAGGTCAAGATGTTGACGACACTTACACAAGCAGGTTTGATCACAAATATGAAGAGTTGGTCATCTATATTAAAGAAAAAAAGGGAAAACGCCAGGGCCAGAAACGAAAATTATCGACTGATAGGAATGGTAGATGGTCTATTTTCATTTACTTCAATTGTTATCTTGTTTTTGCTTCTGTTTATGCTAATTTCCTTCTTTAATTAATGACATTTAGATGATTCACAACATCAAGGAGATGACGATCACAAGTGGAGGGTGTCCAAAACCAATTAATGAATTAGCATGGAGACAAGTATTCAAATGCGGAATACTTTCCCTGGGCAGAGACAATCGTAAGAGTCAAACTGAATATACTGTAATAAAAAAATTATAGTATCATTCATGCATAGCCACTGGTACAGTTTCGCCCTTTAGTAGATTGACTGTATATTGTATCTATATTCACTACCTTTCAGAGGGAAAGAGGGGTACAAGAAAGCATGGAAACACCACCCAATGTACCCCCACTTACAGAGAGAAAGGACAAGAGGAAGAAACCGGCATCTGGTTCGACATCAGCAGGGGAATCCTTTGTGCAAATTGTGGAGGTGGTGACTTTTCACCAACTGGCACTGATTGCGGTGAATCACAAACTCAGGAGAGCTCAACCAACGTAAGTAAATTGTGTTTTACAATTCCAAGTGTTGTTCTACTTCCATACTTCAACTAATTGTGGCTGGGATTCCACTGAGGAATAACATGACATAGGTAATATGCCCTGTTAACGCCTGTTCTCCTTAACACGCTTTTTTGCCCTACTCTTTTTTCGTTTTCAGTTACGTTCAGTTCTTCTAGCACAACTGAAATACACAGGGAAGGAGGGTTAACCCAGAAAGAGTTTGATTAGCAAAAGCAGTTGTTGCTAATTGATTTGAGAAATATCAGTCAATAAAATTCAAATGGCAATTAACAAAGAAGTGTGAGTCATTATTTTAAATTCAATAACCACAATGTTTAACAGATGCCTCACAAAAACCCTGTGTCACCTGAACGACTGCTAGTAAAACTAGACCCCTTGGCCTTGTTGAATGTGTAAACAAGACTTTGTGCTCCCGGATAGATGCTTTGGTGTAGGCTATAACCATTTCAACCCGATTTAAGTTCTAAGAGGGCAAGAATCGTAAGAGGGCGCCAGTCCCTATAATAAGTCGTCAGTCTTCTGCCAAAACGTAAATAAATAAAGTAAATAAATGAATATATTTTAAAATTACTAAAATAATTTATAAAGATAATAGAGGATGTTAGCATCAACAACGAGTATGAGTACGAGAACAACTTCAAGCCGTACTCGTACTCGAAGTCGTTTTCTCAGCTTTCTATGTTAGCGATGACACCGAGTTCGAGTTTATAGAAAATAAAATTATGGGATGACTGGGTGCCAGATTGTGTTGAATTTGATGACTATTAGCGTGCTTTGAGAGCCCGACGGTCCATCCTCCAGTTTTCAAAGGAAAATAGATTTTTCAAGGTAACTCGAAGGATGGTTAATCGTGGTCTTAAAACACGCTAAAACCCATCAAATTCAACACAACAAGCACACTGGATAAAGAAGTTTATTCTTTATTAATATCTTCGACTGTTGGGATATTTTCGACCAAATAATGGCAATTTTCGGGGTTATTTCGTGAGCCTGTGAAGCCTGTGGAGAGACATGAAACTTTCCCGGGTAAATGCAAATTTACTCTGTGTAGGAAATATCGCGTTCGGTTGCTTTTCCTCGACTTCAAAAGCAGTATTTTACATAAAACATAATATAAGGAATGTTCAAGGCGATAAAGGGAGGCTAGAAACGAAAAGAAACTGCATTAAACGATCGGAATTTACCTTTGAAAACCAGCTCTTCCCAGTCGTTCTACCCACTTCAAGTTTTTGGAGAGAACTCGTCGTAGTGCAACTTGTCAGGACGACTTGAAAACGTGGAGATGCGCAGAACGGTTGTGCAGTACACAAAATCGCTGATCTCGTTCTAGAACTCGTACTCGTTGTCGATGCTAACATCCTCTAATGTAATTGTCTCAACATACCCAAAATAACAATCGAGTTTGGATTTTCACCATTGTAGGGATTTAACAAAAAAGAACAAGCTGATCTCTTACAAAGGCAATAAAGCGCTCACCGTTTATAGTTGTGTGTTGCTGTTGTGCTCAGTACACTCCTCTGTGGTGCAAAGACTTGGACTATACACAAGACACTAGTGAAGAAGCTACATGCCTTCATGATGCGCCAAATGAACATATCTTGGAGAGAAAAAATCACAAACAAATACGGGCAAAGGTTGTCTTCTAGGGTTTATATGNAATGCAAATTTACTCTGTGTAGGAAATATCGCGTTCGGTTGCTTTTCCTCGACTTCAAAAGCAGTATTTTACATAAAACATAATATAAGGAATGTTCAAGGCGATAAAGGGAGGCTAGAAACGAAAAGAAACTGCATTAAACGATCGGAATTTACCTTTGAAAACCAGCTCTTCCCAGTCGTTCTACCCACTTCAAGTTTTTGGAGAGAACTCGTCGTAGTGCAACTTGTCAGGACGACTTGAAAACGTGGAGATGCGCAGAACGGTTGTGCAGTACACAAAATCGCTGATCTCGTTCTAGAACTCGTACTCGTTGTCGATGCTAACATCCTCTAATGTAATTGTCTCAACATACCCAAAATAACAATCGAGTTTGGATTTTCACCATTGTAGGGATTTAACAAAAAAGAACAAGCTGATCTCTTACAAAGGCAATAAAGCGCTCACCGTTTATAGTTGTGTGTTGCTGTTGTGCTCAGTACACTCCTCTGTGGTGCAAAGACTTGGACTATACACAAGACACTAGTGAAGAAGCTACATGCCTTCATGATGCGCCAAATGAACATATCTTGGAGAGAAAAAATCACAAACAAATACGGGCAAAGGTTGTCTTCTAGGGTTTATATGGGAGATAAAGTCTCTAGGTGATGGGCTCCTGTGCTCAGCAAATAAAGTCAACATGCAAATCAAATCATTTATTGTTTTGTATGCAGAAAAACGTCCACATATCTCCACGAGATCTCCTGGGAATCCCGTTACTGGAAATTTAAAACTGCTCTAGAACATTCAAGTAAGAAATGTTGGATTTATGCCGCTAGATGAATGGCATGACTCTGTACCCGAGGGATGCAAAGAAAACTGTAAATCAGAACTTAGGGACTTGTCAGAAATTAGCAGGGGGGGAGGGGGGGTGAGAATTTTAAATTTGGGTTCGGAAATTAGGTGACCCACCCCTGCAATGGGAGTGAAATTTGCTAACCCTCCCCTTGAGCTTGGTCTAAAATATCATGACCCTCCCCACCTTACAGAATTGAAAGAAAAATGTTCCAGGCTCTTTAAGGTGCAGGATTCCAAGCCAACAAGACAAACAAATGAACAAGAAAAAAAAGGAAACAAAAGCAAAATAAAAGCAAAGCAAAGAAAGCTAGGGCAAAAAGAATGGAAGCTAACTGCAAAGGAGCTATTGAAACCATATTACACCTCAGCAAGAATCGCGTGATATTACAGAGGCTATTGGCCCATTATTTCTTCATTATGAAGGAAAAAGTGGGTTCCTCAAAACGCAAAGGCCATATATCTTTGAGAAGGGTTGTTCACCAATGAATCACAGGACATTATCAAGCAATATCTACGCTTCAACTTAAATGAAAATCATGATGATGATGAAAGTGATTGTATCAATGCGAAGCTAATAAAATAAGATAAAATAAACAAAATAAAATGCTGATGACATAAATGATGATGATCAAGATGCTCACAGCAGCATTGATGGTGATGCTGAAGACAGGGATGAAAAGGATAGCCAAAACTATAACAACATTAACAACAACATTATTCGTTATTGCAATAAGACTCTATAGCATTTTTATAAATGAAAAGTAGATGTTTGTTAAATACTTCACAGTTTATATCCATAATAT